CAGCGAGTCCCTTGACCTTGACACGCTCCAGGTGAGCCTCAAAGACAAGCTGGCCAAGAGCAGGTTTCTAATCGTGCTAGACGACGTGTGGAACGAGAACTACGGGAGGTGGGATGTCCTGTACCGCCCGTTCCAGTTTGGGCTGCCCGGTAGCAGGATCATAGTTACGACCCGCAACGCCAGCGTGGCCTCCATGGTTGGGTCTCCGCGCACGGCCTACCACATGAAGTTGTTGACCGACGAGAACTGCCTGTCCTTGCTGGCGCAGCACGCGCGAACGTCCTTCGACGAGGTTCTCGACCTGAGGGATGTCGGGCTGGGGCTGGCCAAGAAGTGCAAAGGGCTTCCTTTGGCCGCCAAGACTCTCGGCGGCCTTCTGCGCTCGAAGGAGACCAAGGAAGACTGGGAGAAGGTGCTGAGTAGCAAAATATGGGATTTGCCCGAGCCGCATAATATCCTCCCCGTCTTGAGGCTGAGCTACCAACACCTCCCATCTCATTTGAAGCATTTGTTCGCCTACTGCTCGATTTTCCCCAAGGATTATGTGTTCGACCGGGATGAGCTAGTGCTCCTGTGGATGGGGGAGGGGTTTCTCGAGCAGCCGAACCCGAGCGTGCGGAAGGAGGAGCTCGGCCTCGAGTATTTCAACGAGCTGCTGTCGAGGTCTTTCTTCCAGCGGCTAGGGGGAAGCGACTCGCGCTTTGTCATGCACGACCTCATAAACGACCTGGCCCAGTTTGTGGCGGGGGAGAGCTGCTACCGGCTAGACGAGAAGATGGACACCAGTCAGGAGTACCACGTGCCTGAGAAGGCCCGCCACGGCTCCTTCCAGCGCCATGAGTACGAGGTTATCCAGAAATTCAACACTTTCTATCAGGTCCAGGGCTTGAGGACGTTTCTGCCTATGCCTGCCAATAACCGTCGCATCTCGTCCACATCCTACCTGTCTAACCGTATTCTGGTGGAGTTGGTGCCAAAGCTCAACAGCCTGAGAGTGTTGTCCCTGAATGGCTATTCCATCACCGAGCTCCCCAACTCCATCTGCAACTTGCTGCATTTACGCTACCTCAACCTGTCCAGGACCTTGATTTTCACATTGCCCTACACTTTGAGCGCTCTTTTCCATCTGCAGACTTTGTCTTTACGTAACTGCCGCTATCTATGCAAGCTGCCGCCCACATTGGGGAACCTCTCAAACTTACGGCATCTGGACAACTACAACACCGGTCAGCTGAAGGATATGCCGGTCGAGATCGGTAACCTGAGGAATCTCCAGACTCTGCCAAAAATTGTTCTCAGCAAAGAAGGAAGCTGCTTGGGTCTGAAACAACTGCGGGACCTGAGGCATCTGCGCGGATCCCTAGCCATTGTCGAACTTCAGAATGTGATGGATATTGAGGACGTGAAGGAGGCTAACTTTAGATGCAAGAATGATCTCGATGAGTTACAGCTTTTTTGGGGAAGTGAGATCGACAACTCCAACAACAAAATTCCCGAGGAAGATGTGATCGACCATCTTCTACCACACGAGAACCTAAAAAGCCTCAGGATCGAGTTCTACAGGGGATCGAACTTCCCGAGCTGGATCGGGGATCCTGCCTTTCGTAAATTGTCGAGTATAAGCATCCTCAACTGCTCGGAGTGCTCGTCCCTGCCGCCTCTTGGGCAGCTTCCCGAGCTCAAGCACCTGCGGGTCAGTGGTATGCCCAAAATTAAACAGGTGGGGACTGAGTTCTACGGGACGTGCGCAATCATAACCCCATTCCCAAAGCTCGAGCGTCTGAGATTCGACAATATGCCCGAGTGGCAAAAATGGACCGGCCCCACTGGCAGCTCGTGCGGAAACATTGAGTTCCCTAATTTGCAAGACCTCTTGATTTTCAGTTGCGGGAAGCTGGCTGAAGTCTCTCCGCTGACCTTCCCTACTCTTCGCACTTTGAACGTCAAGGAATGCAGCATGGTCTTGCTGGAAAGGTTCTCGAGCCTGGAGTCCCTGATCGACCTTAAGATTGAGTCAATTTTCGGCCTATCTCATCTGCCGGCCGAGGTCATTCGGTCCCTGGTGGCACTCGAGGTCTTACAATACCGTAGCTGCAACGAGCTGCTTTCGTTGTGGCCCGAAGGTGTCCCGCTCGATCAGAACCTGGCCCACCTGAGGCACCTCGTTATCGCCAGCTGTTCGCAGCTGGTGTCGTTAGGACAGGGGGACCATCAGCTACCACCGAACCTCGAAATCCTTGACATATCCGATTGTACGAACCTGGACGCTCTCCCGAACAACCTGAGTGAATTGGAGTCCTTAAGCGAGCTGAGTATCAGTAATTGCCAGAGGTTCGTGGCCTTCCCTGAAAACGGCATTCCCAGGATGCTCAAGAGTCTTGCGATAAATAGTTGCAACTCTTTGGAGTCCCTCCCGGCCAACATATCTGGCCTCGAGCGTCTCGATATCAACAAGTGCTCGTCACTCAGAACGTGGGCTGTGGCCCATTTCCCAGCCACACTCAAGAATCTCACGATCTTAGACTGCACGCAGCTTGAGGCCGTTTCGAACGGGATGTTTCCCGAGGGCAGTACCATGCTTCTAGAATATCTGGGCTTGTCCAACTGGCTGAACTTCAGTAATCTGCTCCAGAGACTGCACGGATTTGCGCACCTGGTCATGCTGAACCTCAATCGCTGCGATGGACTGGAGCACTTCCCGGAACACGGCCTGCCTTCAGGCCTTCAAGACCTCTCGATCGCGAACTGCCCAAGTCTCAAGTCGTTGCCAGCCAAAATCTGCACCATGACATCGCTCGTGTCGCTCATGCTGTGGAACTGTCCGAGGCTCGATAATTTTCCAAGGTGCGATCTGCCCCCGAACCTAACCCAGCTCACGATATGGGATCCTAAGAAATTGAAGCCCCTTTCCAAGTGGGGCCTACATAGGCTAGCTTCCCTCCAAGTGTTCTCCATCTGTGGTGGATTCGAGGAGCTCGAGCAACTCGGGGAATACGACTGTCTCTTTCCTCCTTCTCTAACAAAATTCTCGATTACTAGTTTCCCCAAGCTCACTTCGCTTGGTAAGGTGCTTGAAAATCTCACATTGTTGAGGCACCTATCGATTAGGAACTGCCAGAATCTTAACGTCTTGCCTAGTGAAGCCCTGCTCGAGAAGCTGTGGCACCTGGATATAAGTGATTGTCCGCTTCTTAGGCAACGATGTGCAAAGGACAAGGGAGACTATTGGCCAAAGATAGCAGGGATTCCTTTTGTGAAGATTTGATCAGATTTATGTTTATAAACCGGGTTCGGTTTGAGAAGGAACGAAACTTGGTACACTTTCGGGCGTAATTTTTGGGTCTGAGGTCTAAGTTTGTTGCTTGGTTGGTTCATGTGTTGTGGAGTGTGTTTCGGTTGTAGGTTTGAGAATTTGTTCGATTGCCCAAAATGTTTTGAGAGGTCTTATCTTATTTGTTTTTTTTTACGTGTGCGTTGTTTGTTGTCTTTATTTTGTTGATTTGTTTTGTTTAGTTCAGCGATTCTGGTTTAGTCGCAGTTAGTGTCTCCTTTATGGAGTTTTATTTTGTGATTGTTCGTCCCTTGATGGAGTTTGTAACCCTTGTGTGTGATTACAAAAGGTGGTGGTTCAGACTTCGTTTTGGTCCCAGTGTGTCACTTGACACTTCGGTTGTACGCTTTGAGATTAAGTTATTAATATAATTGTTGTTTAAAAAAAAATGTAAAAAGCAACCAAAAATGATTTTTTTTAGAAAAGTTATAAAGTATGGTAGGAATTTGAGAAAAAAATGTTCAATAATTCAAACAATTTTAAAATATATTCATTAATTAATAATAATCATGCTGAATATGCATAAATTGCAAAAAAATAAGCAAAAAATCAATTAACCAAATTTTAGCAGTTTATTTATTTACACTATCTATATCTATACTATTATAAAATGAGGAATGATTTTGTAAGAAATTGCATGGACTAAAATGTCCTTATGTTTATATTATTTTTAATGTCAAAACTGTAATAACTATTAAGTATCTCAATGAGTTATAATCACAATTAAATACCTCAATAAAATAGGATTCTAACAAAAACAAAACTCTTTCAAAAACAAAACCTAACAAAATAGATTTAAATAAGTAAACAAAATATTAACTTATCAATAAAGGAAAAATTAATAAATGAGATGCAAACCATTTCAATAAGATTGAATTGCATTAAAATATTATTATAGTATGGAATTTAACAATGATAATGAACTATAAAGCGGTATAATTAAAGCGTAAAAAGATGTACTTTGTATTATTTATATGTTTTTGTTGAGTACAAGAAGTCGGTATTATGAAAAACCGAGCTGTGTTTGTACATGCGTATATAACATGTGTAAAAAAGATCCCCGTACAATAATAAATTCTGCTATTTATAGTACGGTGTGTTTGACTTCCGGTACGAGGTTGATAGGATCGCATTTAATGTTGAGCTGCTTCATTGAAACGGTGTGCTGGGTAATGGGGGAACATCATTGATTGCATCTGTTATATGTGGTCCAATCAAATGGAGTGCTTTATCACATGCTTTGGACTTCGTTTACCTTGGTACTCAGTTAATGTAGATAATCTTCAGGGGAGAACCTTTGAGAAGTCGGTTATTTGTCTTTAGTGCGAAGTCGGTCCACCGCCATAAGTGAGGTCGGTTTATGCTTTTGAATGAGGTCGGTTCTTCATCTTCTGGGTACCGAGGTGAACTAAGTTTGGCGTGTGGAATGATCTGAGAGATAAGCTGCAGAAAAATCTAATAAACCTTCCTCTTAATTATGGCAAATCAGGTCGGTTGTCAACAGAGAGGCTCCCGACATTAGCAGGTATTTCAATAAACCTTACTCTTAATTATGACTTTCCAGAGTTCTTCCGTACAGAATGTGTAACAGATCTCATTGTTCTCTTCCATTTCTTATTTATCATTTCTTTTTATCTGTTAACTACTCTTTTCTATATTGGTAATTACAATGGTGTTAGTTTTCTCTTGTGGAAATTTCTCTCTCTATCTTAGAGTTGGCCGGTTCCTATGGTTAGGATTTGGGTTTCGATCCTCTATATTCTCTCCGATCTTATCTCCGATATATCTGATTCTTCCTTTTCCCTTGTTCTTTAGGGTTCCTAGCATTTTGTTTCCTCTTCCCCCTGTTTAGAGTTTCTTTATTTCTCTCTTCACTAGGGTTTCCATTTCATTGCTAATCCTTTTGTTGTCTTGTCCTTCCCTTTCTCTGCAGGTTCTTGCTCTTCACTGACTCCTACATCTTAGTTAAGTCCTGAAGCTTTCAAGGATGGAGCAAGATCTAATTGACCAAATGCGAAAGTTTGAGCTATCCGATAAAGAGCGCCAAGGGATAAGTTTGGCAAATACAGATATTGAACCGGGTCTCCATGAATGTGAGCGCAGTCTAATTGGCAAAATTATTGGAGCGAAAAACGTCAATCTGGGAGGATTAAAAACTACCATGAGCCTGGTATGGAGAACAAGTAAACCCTTTTCGATCAGGGCGATTGGGCCCAACTTATTTCAGTTTCTTTTGCAAGCTGAGGAAGATAAATGTCGTATTCTCAAAGGCAGAACATGGTCATTTGATGGCCAATATTTACTGCTCAAGGAATGGAAAAAGAATCAAGTGGAATTCCGAGATGAAGAACTCCGTATAGAACTATGGGTGCAGGTGCATAATCTACCCCTCCACTGGATCTCGGAGGAAACGGGTTTGAAGGTCGGGAGACTTTTTGAACGTGTCAGTGATGTTATGATACCAGGCAAAGGCAGCATAAATGCAAAAATTGTGAAGATTCTGGTTGAACTAAATGCTCTGGAACCCATTCCAAGAGGCACAAAACTGAAATTGGGGTCAGAAGAGCACTGGGTTGATTTCAGATATGAGAAGTTGTTAACCTTCTGTTTCTACTGTGGAAAGATTGGCCACAATGAGAGGCAATGTGATCATAAGAAATTAGATATCCAAAGGAATGCGATGCGGACAGGACAATATGGGGATTGGCTAAGAGGTTCCTATATAGGAGGGGTTGATCTAAGAGAGCGAAGATCTTCTAGTCCTTCGAATGTCAACCTGAACTCAGATTCTAGTATAGCCAAAACCACTGACCAAATTGATAATCAAAGCCAACCTATTGAAACTATCATTGCTGCTACAGGCAAAACCACTGTTATTATCCCTGAGGAGTCTGAGCAAGACAATTTAGGTGAAATCCCTATTCCTATTCAAGAGGGGAGTGTGGGGGTGAGTGAGAGTCATCCTTGTGCCAATATGGAGTTAGATGTTTGCAAGTCCTCTCCCATCAATTCTGAAAAATTGGCGAACATTCCAATCCTCCAAAGTTTATCCCCATCTACTACTACCCAAAAGCCAAAACCTTTGTGAGACTCACCAGAAACAAAACACCTGCCACTACTACACACCAAGTTTGCATCCCAGACCCTAAATCTGAGACTAAACCAACAAAATCTGTTTTGAAGAGGAAAACCAATGAGAGTATTGTTGATGTTGTTACTCAAAGTGAGCCTGTTCCTAAAAAGCAGAAAAATACCCAAATTGTCTCCGATATTGTGGTGGAGGAAACCAGCCATAACTGGTCCTAAGTTTCCAAATGAGAGTTTTGGTGTGGAATTGTAGAGGTTTGGGGGGACCCTCTACAATTCCCAAGTTGAAGGACAATGTCAGAGCCTACCTCCCTGATTTCATTTTCCTTTCTGAAACCAAAAAAAAGAAGTCTTTTGTTACTACTGTTTGTAAAAACTTGCTTGTAGGTGATAGATGGAAGTGTGTTGACCCTATTGGTAGTAAAGGGGGTCTTCTTTTGTGTTGGTCTTCCAAAATTCAGGTTCTAGAAGTTGTTGATAATAACTTCTGTTTTGAAGTCAAATTTTTGCTAAATGGTTTTGCTGATCCTATGTGGGGAGTGTTCATTTATGCCAATGTTGATCCTTATCTTAGACAGAAGCAGTGGGAGCTGCTCATTAGGCATCACCTTACCTGGGGTAATCTTTGGTTCATTGGGGGGGATTTCAATGACATTCTTAGTAATGATGAGAAGAATGGGGGTTTGGTGAGAGGGGAAGCTTCTTTTCAATCCTTTAGACATTTTACCCAGCTCCTCAATTCAGTAGCCTGTCCTAGTGTGGGTCACCCCTTCACCTGGTCAAATAACAGAAAGGGTAAGGATTTTGTTGAGGTCCAGCTTGATAGGTTTCTTCTTTCTCCTGATTGGCTCCTCAAATTCCCTAAGGTCTCTGTCCTGCACATTCCACTTGTTTCTTCTGATCACAGTCTATTGCTTATGGACATTGTGGGAACAGAACAGAAAAGGAAGCATAGGTTCTATTTTGATAGAAGATGGGCAAAGGAGGAGGGGTTTGATGAATGTGTCAAAAAGGCATGGAAGATGCAAGTCACTGGTGCAGGCCTGTATAGCTTTCAAAAACGGTTGAGAAATGTGAAATTTGGCTTATTGGGATGGCTGACCTCAACTGCTACAAATTCATCAAAGATTATAAAGGAGTGCAATGCCAAACTGGAACTGCTCAGTAGTCAAGGTGGCGCTAGAGAATGGACGGAATGGTATAGCTGCAAGGAAAAAATCCACAAAGCCTACAAGGATGAAGAGCTTTACTGGAAACAAAAGGCCCGGGTTAGATGGTTAAAGGAAGGGGATAACAACACTAGATTTTTTCAAGCCTGTGTCAATCAGAGAAGGAGTATGAACAGCTTAGAAAATCTTCTCAAAAGAACTGCTGGCAGATGTACCAATCAAGCTGAGGTTGTGGAAGAAGTGTCCAATTTCTTTGAACAGCTTTTCAGTTATGAGTATGTTGATGGTGATTCAGAGATTCTACAGGGCCTTCCTTGTGTCATTACAGCTGGAATGAATCAAGACTTAACTAAGGCTGTGGATGAAATGGAGATCAAGAATGCACTGTGGGCCATGGACCCAGGTAAAGCCCCTGGTATTGATGGGTTCTCCCCCTCCTTTTTTCAATCATGTTGGCATATTATTAAGACTGATTTATGCTTGGCTGTCCAAAATTTTTTTGTCACTGGTTGTATTCCAAAGGCCACCAACCACACTGTTATTACTCTAATCCCAAAAACCAAATATCCAAAATTGGTTACTGATTACAGACCTATTAGCCTCTGTACCATTACCTACAGACTTATTGCTAAAATTCTTGCACTCAGAATTAAATCTGTTATCAAATTTTGTATCTCCCAATCTCAGACAGCTTTTGTGCCTGATAGACAAATTCTTGATAATGTTATTATAGCTAATGAATGCCTTCATTTTCTTAAGGGAAAAAAAAGAGGGAAAAAAAGATATATGGCCCTTAAACTAGATATGGCCAAAGCTTTTGATAGAGTTGAATGGCCTTTGTTATTAAAATCTGCAAGCACTTGGGTTTTTGCAATAAATTCCTGAACTGGATTTGGTCTTGTATTAGTTCTTCATCCTTTTCTTTTAACTTGAATGGCCAAAATCAAGGGCAGGTTGTTCCTTCAAGAGGTCTGAGGCAAGGAGACCCACTATCTCCTTACCTGTTTATCCTTATTACTGAGGCCTTGTCCAATCTCATTCACCGCGCTAGCTCATCCCATTCATTTAAAGGCCTCAAAATTAGCAAATTTTCACCCAGTATTTCTCACCTATTTTTTGCTGATGACAGCTTAATTTTTTGTCAAGCTGATAGTTATCATGCTGCTTTATTGCTGCAAATTTTGCATTCGTATTGCTCAGCCTCTGGCCAAGCTGTAAATTTTCATAAATCTAATATTTTCTTTTCTGCTAATACCCCTATTCAAGATCAGTCTCAAATTTGCCAAATCCTCCAAGGAATTGCTGTGGCCAGAAGCTCTAAATACTTGGGTCTCCCAATGGGTATAGGCAGGACCAAAAAAGAAACTTTTGCTTTTGTTTCAGAGTGTGTGTTAGCTAGGGTTTCTAATTGGAAAAATATATTTTTGAGTGAGGCCGGCAAAGAGATATTAATCAAAACTGTGTTGAGTGCCTTGCCTCTTTATGTGATGTCTGTTTTCAAGCTTCCTGTTGGTATTTGCTCTGATATTTGTAGAGAAGTAGCTAGGTTTTGGTGGGGCAAGAATGGGGAAGGGGGAGAGAAAATTCACTGGGCTAGTTGGGGTAACCTTTCTAAGTCCAAAAAGGAGGGAGGGCTGGGATTTAAAGACTTAGGAATCATGAATGAGGCCCTGATCTTAAAGCAACTCTGGAGAATGTTAACTAAGCCTAACACATTAATGAGCAGAGTGATGAGAGGCAAATACTGGCATAACAAAAACTTTCTTGAGGTCAGGAAAAAAGATTCTGATTCCTGGTTATGGAAAGGGTGGCTTGATTGTAGACATTCTCTGACTTTGGGGTTGAGATACCAAGTGGGAAATGGCCACTCAATCAATATTTGGACATCCCCCTGGATTCCAAACTCAAATGGCTTTAGACCTACTGTTTGTTTTGCCTCTGACAGAATTGCACTTCAAAAAGTTTCTGACTTAATGGTTGCAGGGGAACATAAATGGGACAATGAGCTGATTCTTCAGACATTTACTCCCACAGATGCTGCACTCATCCTTCAAACCCATATAAGTCACTGTGACACTCAAGACAAACTTATTTGGCATTCAGATAAGACGGGCAAATTTAGTGTTAAGGCTGCTTATCATACTATTCTCCTCTCAAAGCAGGAGCATCAACAGCTTGCAGAAACCAGCAATGCCAGGACAGATAACCAGAAGATGTGGCAAAAGGTATGGCATCTTCCAATCAAGCCTAAAATCAAGAACTTTCTGTGGAGATGCCTACATAACTGGCTTGCAACAAATTGTGCTCTAAGGAAGAGAAAGCTGGATATTGATGTGAAATGTTGTTGGTGCACTGAAGAAGATGAAACTCTAGAGCATCTTATGTTCCATTGTATTAGAGCCAAAACTGTCTGGAAGCTTGCTGGGTTGGCCTGGGACTGTTTGAATGACAAGGGCATTACATTTTCAGGATGGTGGCTAACCTTGTGCAACATGAAGGACCTGGAGCATAATAGAAACAAAATTTCTCTCTCAGTTTATCTCCTATGGTGGATGTGGAGAACAAGGAACATATGCTTGTTTGAAAAGAAAGTGATCTCTGAGCCCCAACTGGTTGCAAAAGCAAAACTTGAATGGCTGGAATTTGAGGATATCAAGTTTGGTCAACATCTTCTCAAGCCAATAAATTTGATTGTGGGCTCTAGTGCAAATTCTGATGAGGTGCAAGGAATAGGGGAGCTTCCTCAAGCTGCCAGTGTTAATGCCTCTCACTCGGAGATTCGTGTTTTGAAGGGGACAGCTTTTCTGGCAAATACTGAGGTGGCCTGTTGGAGTATGCCCTTTACTGCCTTTCAGCAAAAATCTAAAGCTACTTTCTTTTCTGAGTTGCGGACAAGGCTGGAGGAGGGGCTCCCTTTAGGATGGCAAAGGATTATGCTGGAAATTAAAGACAAAGGCCTGCATCAAATATTAGCCGGTGAAGCTCTCTGCCTTTTGGAATCTGCAATTCTAGTAGAAGACATTAGAATTTTATTGTCTCGGTTTTCTTCTTGTTCTCTTATATTCTGTGTTTAGGGAGCTGTTTTTCCTTTTTTTTTTTATTGTTTGTTGTATGTGTGTTGTTTGTTCTTGGTTTTTTCTTTTCTGAGGCCATGGTTGGTCCTTTAGGTTAGCTCAGAGTTGAGCTTTCCCTAGCATGTCGCTTTGAACCGTGATATGTTGCGGCCCCTTGGCTGTCCCTATTGTACATTCGAGTTTCTTTTATCTAATTTGATGTTTGTTAAAAAAAAAAAAAATTGCAATGGTGTTGCTGTCTATGCTAATATTCGACTTTTCCTTCTTTTGTCTTCCAAATTTTCAGGGATCAACTGATGTAGAATTGCCATTTTCTGTATGGGCCTTTTCTAGCTTTATTCTTTTCGGTATTATTTTGATATTTTATGTAGACAGTATAGCAGAGGAAAGGTACACTCTTTTGTAGCCTCTTCTATGCGTAGTTCTTATTATTACTTTCATCCATTGCAATTTATATGTTCAAGTTCTCACCATTTATTGGGTATTAGGCTACCGGAAATTTCATTAAGAATCACATTTTGGAAATATATTCTCGGGTATGGCTTATTAGTTATTATAGGTGTGGACTGACTTTAGGTACTTAACATAAAGTGAATAAAAAAAGAAACATTACCTACATTACCTAATACACCTTCATGGCTAGCAATTGACACTTGGAGTACATGCTGATTCATAGTGTTATTATTGCTTATCAATGGTTTTCTATGCTCTGCGGGTTTTGTTATTTTCTGTTTCATGCATATTTACATTTAAACATT